CAGCTAGGGACATGGTGTTTTTAAAAGACTAATCCTCTCAGCAGCCTTAGTGGGTGTTGGAAAAAGCTACCAAATGACAAAGGCAGTCATGGAGGCATGCCTCTATGATTATCACGTATTCCTGCCTCTCTTACCCTCTCTTTGCTCAGACTAGAAACTGCATGAAATACCAGCCAGTTCTCTGAGAATTATTTTCACTTGTAGTCTTCTATAATAAGTGCGTATGATTTACTGTCTAAATGACTATGGCTATGACTAAAATTACTTGGCAGCTTTCCCCTGCTAGTACATTGTCATGAGCACTAATTTGTCCAGATGAGCTGTTTACGTGCTTTGAAAAAGAGGTCATTTTTTATTCTGTAGTAGAATAAGGATTTTTTCTTTACTACTAGCAGAAGAATGGAAACATTTGTCTCCCAGTGCCTTTTGTCAGGCATAGGAGATCAGGACATTTATAGATTTGCAAAAAGTGTGGTGCACGTACATTACTCATGTTCTGGCATCCACGTGCAGAGTTACGCATGGACTGTTCTGAGAAGAGGTCTGGCAATTATCCTGTACTTACCTGCAGGTTTTGCCTAAGACAAATTCCTACTATGCCCAGTGGGAGTTCTGCAGCTGATTTCCTTGAAAATTTGATTTGGCATGAATAATTACATTGTCAACAGCATGTTGACTGTCAGTTATTTCAGGTAAAGGCAGTTTTTCTGATGATCTGGTTGTACTGATGAGTTTGTATATCAATACTGCTGTACCATGTACAAGTCACAAAAGGGGCTTTGGCTTATGAAATGACATAAATGAAAGCAGAGACGCAGGTTACAGCTACAGTTACTACAGTAAAAAACTACGTATCATGAGGGAACATTCCTGAGCTCCAGAGCTCAGCTGTATACAGTAAAATTTTAAAACTCCTTCCTGGCATGGATTTATCTTGGGTCAGCTAACACTTTCCCCACCAGTTCCTGGATGTAGTTCAGGAGCTAGCATAGGCTTCAGACAATTTCTAGTAAGTGGTCTATGACCATCCTGTTTTAGAGAATAAAAGTTTAGCAGTAGGGATACAGGCTGTCCTGTGATAGTCAGCCTTGGTGCCAAACCAAGGCTCAAGCACATTTAGTTTGCCATTGTGGACATCGTCACATTCAGTGCACTTTTTGGAAGAAGCTTCTGATGGTATTGGAGCAAGTTTATTTCTTACTCAAAGCTATTTGCAAACTCTCTTACTCCTTGTTTTGCAACTTGACAGCTCACTTTATAGAGCCTTGCTGCTATGCAAGGAGTGACAGCTGTACCTTTGCTGGAATCACAAGATTTATACAACAAAGGGATTTCTTAAGGGTATGCATGAAAAATGCATATAAAGAACCTACTTGTCATTTGTTTGCTAACAGTCAAAATTGTCTTTAAAGCTTAGTGACATAAATAAAGAAATCACTACTCTCCCTTTCTAGCTATCTCGAGAAAACTGCATGAAACAAGGAGAAAATAAGTACAGTTTTGCAGAGACAGAAATCTGCTTGAAACCAACCAGGCTGTCAACAGTGCCTAGCAAATACACTTTTTCTGTCCCAAGTGAACAACAAACATGTCACATCAAGAAACACCCACTAAGTTTAACGAAGTTCTTGGAAGTGTCTCTGAATCCTGCCACTGTAGGCAGCCCTCAGAAATAAAATTGGGTGCTGGGCAGACACCCAGGGGTGCTCAGGATAGACCCTGGTCCTGAGGCACCACTGCCTTCCCTGGCCCCTTCCTCTGCCCTGGCTGGGTGGCCAGCTGTGTCCTTGAGGTGCTTGGGAGCAATGAAGAGGTTTGTTCCTAGAGATCCTAACGTTTAAGCATGCTCTCACCTCCCAAGTCATTACAGAGGCTGCCACGCTTGCTCAGCCAAACACAAACGGATAATTGCCTGCACTTTTCTTTTACAATGTGTTTAAGATATACAAGTATTTTACTTTCGTCTTAGGAAACGGGGTACTGGAATAATTGCATTGTTGTTGTAGAGTAAAATATGCAGGCTCTTGAGTGTTTAAAACTTTGCACTCCAAATCAACCTATTAAAAATCATAAGCACAGTTCTGCATGGCAGAGTATTATTTTTAATAGCTTCTTTCTAATTGCCTTTTCTTTTATCCTTAGGGGTTTGCATTTCTTCACTTGAGAAGAACTCTTTAATTGATTGTTTGTTTATTTTTTAAATGAAAGCTGATATTTTTACATAATCATATGACTTTGGGAAACAGAGTTTGAAGAAAGAGACAAAGAAATTTCTGGTAAAAATCATTACAATGGGCAAGGCAATGCAGGAAGATGCCCAAACTTCTCAGGTTATTTCCAAGGTACTACTAATTCTATTAGGATACAGTAGTATGTATGATAGAGTATACCATGTAGTATGTACTATATTTCACTAGGATTTCAATTACACCATTATCTAGATCTGCTAGAATGGCTTTACACTTTGTTTCAGTATCAGTTAACATTTTTTTTGTTACAAACGTGTGTTTCCTTTTCATTACAGCAATTATTGCTGGTTGGAATGAAAGGAGACAAATGCCTCCTGAAACACTTCTGATACAGCCCTATCTGCACCAGCTCATAAAAATAATACATGTGTAAAAAGTGTGACACGAGCTATTCTCACTTCAAACCAGAATAGCCTGTGTTTTTGACACCGCTATAACACATTTGCACTGAAGGTGTGAATTTGAGTGGCAGGACATTTGAGCTTTTCGATGGAGCAGACCTTGGTGTGGGCAAGGTCTGTCTAGTTACATGGCTGGGACTCCACAGCCACCATTTGTCTGATGAAAGAACAAGTGCCAAACATGTGGTTTTTGAAACAGTCATTGTGGAACAATTATTTCACATGCAACATGCCTGAGAATCTGGTTTCAAATGGCAGCCAGGGGTCTTTATGTGGTCCTGCTCTGTGCTTCAGCCCAGTGTGCACAAACTGCCTCTTTTCTGCAACAAATTTCAGTGCCTGGTCTTCCCCTTGCTGCATTTTTAAAAATGAAATCAAACACACGGCCCTATTCAACTGAAAACAGCCCCTGCAGCTGGTACTGCCTGAGCAATGTGAGTCTCTTGTGCTCTGAAGACACTAATACAGTTCTTAAAGCAAAAACTCCCCCTTTCCAGCAGACACAGAGGAGGCCATTAGACAAAACAATAATCCCACATAGCAGAGCTGTTGTTCTGCTCTCTCATAGCAGAGAAAGTCATGCCTGTCCACAGTGTCTATTTCTCCTGGGTCTAATAGGGCAGCAGAGAGCACTGCCTGAAAATAATTTGTCTTGGCCAAGCTTGAGCAGGAGAAATAGTAATGGATCTATTCCGTGCTCTGGTATTTCAACTACCCCTTCTGGGCCTAGAATATGGAGAAGTATGTGGATGGAAGAAGCAATTTATAAGGCTTCATAGCAGAAATCTGCCAAGAAGAACGTTATTTCCTCTGATTTCTGGGAGTAAGTTAGAGGGAGAAAGAAAAGGGAATTGTCATGTGCCTCCATCTGAGTACAAGTGGGTTCTGTGAGGTTTTAATTGCCCCCTTTCTCAAGAGTTATTCTGTGCATTTGTGAGAGAAAAAGTGGAGGTGGGAGTTAATCCTGGAATTACATAATGAAGTTTACAAAATACAGAATGAGGGAAAGATTAAGGTATGATAGGAACTCTGAAGATTGTGATATGAAGGGGATTCCCTGTTGTCTTTCTATCTGAGAGAAAACTTGTTCCCAGAACTCTGATTCAGACCACTGCATACCCTGTGCTTGCATGAGTTTCAGAGTTTTCCCACTGGAAGCAGCCTGCGCTGGAGTATGCCTAGTAAAAATGAAGAACAGGTTTTAGAGTAGATACCTTTAGTCTACCAAGGCAAAATAACAAGGGATGTAGCTGAATTTCAGACTGATCAGGGTCAAAGAATAACAAAACTAATGTTGAAACAATACCAGTTGCAGAGGCCAAGATATACTTCTACTTAAGAAAAACAAAAGTTGAGCCTATTGTACAAGAACCATCTGCGTGAGGTCACGGTCGAAGGAAACAGATTATTTGTTCTAGGTGTCCTTGCTCATTTACAAATATAGCATATGGCAGTTCAGAGCTTTTAAATTTCTTTGTTGACACATTTTTTAAGACAAGTGAACTTAGACCAAAAGGTAAGGATGAAAATATTTAGTCATTGTAGGAAAATGTTACTGGATTTTCATGCAAGTTCTATTTCTGCTTATCTGTTGTGCAGGTGTTTTGAACATTGATACCGGAACTTGCTATGGCAAGTGAGCAAGTAAAAGCATATTTATATAATTTCATCTGAGAAGTTTTCTGCAGTAAAGTTTAGGCATAACTTAGTAAATTTGGCTATATTTTATACCTCTTACTACCAATTGCATAGGACAGTACTTAATGCCACATTAAACCTGTGTGGCTTTTTTTTCCTAATGATAGCCTGAGCAATTTTTAGCAACTTGACTTTTTTTTTTTTTTGCATGGAAGATAGGAACACACAGTTCAACAGGAGATGTGTTTGCTTCCGTGTCTTCCTTAATCTCCAGAGAAGTAGGACCTCAACCCTTCAGCTAATTATTCCACAGCTATAGCTGTTAAAATATGCTTTAACTTGTATTTACATCGTTTTATTCCTAAAGGCCTTTGGCAAGAGTATTTAAGCTGTTGATTTCTGCAACCCTGGTTTAGTGAAAAGATTTAAGCATGAGTTCAACATGAAGCATACATGTGCTCTCGTTGAGACAAACGATAACTTTGTCCAGGGCAACAGTGCTGAGCCTATTTTAAGGATGTCTTGCTCTCCAACAAAGATACTAAATCCTTGACCTGTGCTCATCGGCAAAATACTGGGGCTTTTAGTGGGCATTTCTCTCATCACTTTTCCTAATTTCACAGCCAGAATAGTTGCTTTTGAAGTATCTTGGGCACCCCAATGGACAGCTCAGCTCAAGCAACTGCCTGGTGAAATCGTGGACATGGCTTACCTGTACTGCCCAGTGCAGAGCTGTTTTGAGGTCTTTGTCCACCAGAGTGAGGTCTGCTCCCCTGTGCAGCAGAGTCTGGGTGTGCTGGGGCCTGTCGTGGAAAGCAGCCCAGTGGAGTGAAGTCATTCCCTGAAAGCCACAAACCCAAAAGAGGAAATTATTGTCACTCACTAGGACCCTCCAAGTCTCCAGATAAGCTAGGCAGTTCTGAAACTGTACATGACTGATAACCTCTTCCATCTCCCCCTCGATTTGGAATAATTAGTAACAGCTTCTGAATTAGTGGAGTCACAAGGGGGAACCAAGCAATTAGCTTTTTGGAGTTATTACAGAACATAGATACAAATGTGAATGTGTTTTCCATACATGACTATAGCCTATTATAAATAATGCATGGTCAGGACCATGACAGCTGGGGGATAGTTCTTCACTGCTCAGTTTGGATCCTGTGAGAAAAGCCTATTTTAGACTGGTGTTTGACATGACACAGTGTGGTGTTTGGTTTAGGTTTTATCTTGGATCCAAAATAAATATTATAAGCTAGTATTCTAGCTGGCACTAAAAAAAGTCAACAAAAAAGTCACAATATGAACTTTTCATATTTATTGTTTAGGGAGAAAACAAAACAGCTATTGACCTGCATTTTCATCCCATCTTAGTTGTGTTCAGTCAGTCTTGGTAGATCAGAGAATTTGTGGATGTATTTGCACTGTCATAAGCCACTGTTACACACAATGGCGATGTATATATTAAAGATTCTCTGTATAAAGTATAAATGTGTTTCTTAAAAAGTGCTACTGTTGTTCATGTGTGGTGACATATGGGTGAAATCCTACCCTAACTGAAATTAATGGGAGATCTGCCACTGACATCAGTGGACCAAAGTTTTGACAGAAGGGGCTTAGTACTGTTGATGGACACTTGGTATCTGAGTACTGTGAAGCGAGGTGTCAGTGAAATGATTTCCAGCTAGGAAATGGGTCCTCACCCCTAAGCTTGGAGAACAGGAAAAATCACTGAAAGAGGAGAAGCTGCAATGTACCAAGACAGCTTTCTGCCATCCCCGCTCAGTCTGTTGATAGAGACAAAAAATCCTTGAAAAATCAACTTTCTGTTTCTACTGTGGTAACTAGCAGTAACATAGGAGTGGGAGAGCTGTGGGTGGGGATCAAAGATCTCTCTAGCCCAGGGACACAGCTCAGAGATCAGCAGCAGATGCTTATGAAGAAAGTATAAGAAACAAGGCTTGACATACAGTCACCTAACATTTGGTAATCAGACTGAAGACTTCCTAAGAAATCCAGACCTCCACAGGGTAATGATGCAAAGAGTAAAAAGTAATTGTTTTTATTTTCTTTAAAACTGCTGCTGGATAATTTCTGTAGGTGTCCCCATAATTTTAGATGTAAAAAACCAAGTTAATGATAATTCTCTTTCAATCTTGTCCATGCAGTTTATTATGCCATGGATTTACATAATCCCTCTGACATAGTTGCCAAGGTGAAAATCGTGTTGTAGTTTGTTTGTTTGAGTTGTTAGCCTGCCCATGAAAGGAAGCTACTCTATAACTATTGCAATCTTCTCATACATCCTTTTTCAGATTACTCCTCCAGTGGACATTCAAGCATAATGCTGCTTTCTGTTTTGTTCTCTGTTTCTTTTCTAATAATTCATACATTCCACGTGTCCTTTCGGAGCACCCATCTGGGCAAAGAGCATTGAGCTGGTTGTGGTGGCAGCTCACACATGTGGGCCTGCTGCAGTGGGCAGTGGCTGTCTAGCCTGCACCCATCCATCTGTGCATGGTGATACCACCCTTGAGTGGCATCTGTAGGTAGGTTACTGTTGGTGAGAGGAAGCATGAGAGTGGTATCGGAACTGTCAAAGCTGAAGATCTATCAGGATATTATATTAAAGGTGAGACAGCCAAACAAATATTCATAAAAAATAGGGGACATAAAAGGAGAAAACTGAAGACATGGCTGCAGGAAATACAGTGTGACACTTATTTTGCCCAGATTCGAGGGTTATTCAGGGAATGTTTCTTCACATTGTCATCTCACGGGCTTCAAAAGAAAACCCACAGAAAGCCACAGTTGTGGAAACTATGAAACCTCCAGATGTATTTCTTATTGTTTATGCATTCATGCATTTATTGGGGTGTTTTTCTCGAGTGTAAGATGGGAAAAATGAAGTGTTTTGTGCCAAAAGAACAGTTCTGTTAGCTGAAATAATTTGTGAGGATCCGTATTTTTTAGAAAACATGAATGTTCAGGGCTTAATACTGACACTTGAACAAATATCTTCTTAGTGCCAAATGACAGTGAGATGGACTAAAAGTTCCAGACTGCATGTAGCCATGCATTAGAGCAAAACATTACAGCTTGAAATTATAATCCACAGTTCCATGCAATTCATTAGCAACATGATTCCACACCAAGACAAAGCATACATCTGGTTTAGGTTGTGAGCAGCATCAGCAAACCATCCAGTGGATAACGAAGGTTCATGGGAGGGGAACAATTAATAACTCTGTGGCAGTTCTGGCACTGTGGAGGAGAGACACTTTCTTGAGCAATTGTTAGAGTGAAGAGAAACATACTAAAAGACATCCAGAGTCCCTCTCTTGTCTTGGCTCCTCCATGTGGAGAAGAAAGCATCTGGGAAGCTAACATTCCCCTGTGAATACTATATATATATGCAGGGCACAGTTTTTTAAGGACCAGAAGACGGTATAATTTTTTTAGCTCCATGACTGTTTTGTGTAACGCCAGCTTGCCAATATTTTTCCTAAGAACAGTACTTTAACGATGGGATGACTGGTAAAGGTGAAGGTTTAGTCCAGTGTGTAACTTCAGAAAAATCAAAAGCAATTAACATCTTGGCAAATTGAGTTAAGATACTGATTCAAGGCACCTCATAGTTGGCAGTATATGGAGAAGGTTTATTAACCTAAAGGTGAATCACATGTAGTAAGAAAAATGACATAATGCTTTGCAGAGTTCAGCAAAAGTATTCTAGAAATTTTTGACTAGTGCATAGTTTCATTGTAAAATTGATACTACAGTGCACTTTTTCTGAGCAGCATGAATGGTATGCCCCCAGAGCCTAAGACTGTGACTTATAGCACAAAGCTCACTCACCTCATTGTCCTGATGATTAATTTCATTTAGATTTGACTTCTGCAGAAGCACGTTCAGAAGCCTGTGGAAGCAATGACATAATCAGTGGGCTGTTGTCGTGACTAAACCTGAAAAAATGACATTTTTTGAGAAATGAAACATGCACTTTCAAGAAAAATCAGTATTAGTGATAGGCATAGGTCAGAATCTTAGGTCTGTGCTTTGTCATATTAGAAAAAACAATAGGACTTTATGGCTTACTGTAACAACAGAAGTTTAATGCTGGGAATTAAAAGCAGATCCCCTAGGAAGAATTCTTGTGCTGATTGCCAGGCTAGAATCAAAGTGCGTAATACTATACATGTGTGCAGTTTTCAGTAGCTTAGCAATTCATTGTCATCCTATTTTATGAAGTTTAAAACAAAGAGAAATGCTAATGATCAGTTTCTAAAAGGTTTTTTCACTCTCCTTAACTCTTGGAGTAATGCGATGTTGTATGCAAGTTTACATGTATGTACATGCATACTGTATATTTACACACACAAACCAATAGTATTTTACAAGGATTTGCAGAGTGTCTGCTGGGATAGGACATTATTATGATACAAAATATAGCAGTGCATCGGTTCACATTTTATAGAATATTAGACCACAAACACTCCCCTCTGGTGGAGGAAACAGTTACAATAAAATAGTTTCATGAAATATTATCCAAGTGCAACAATACTTTTACCACTGCACGGATGTTGCTTTTCTTTTCCTTTCAGTATCCTATTCAGATGTTCTAAAATCACTATAGGTTTGGTGAAGGTGGTTTTGTTTTATAGTAGGATGCTATGTGTTTGAATCATGGAAAAGGACCATTCTGTCACAGGCAGTAAAAAAGCCAAATAGCATAGATCCTAACATGGATGTACAGTTCTTATGATTCTGGCAAAAGGAAAGATAGATCCTCAGTGGGTTCCTAGGTAAGATCATAATACAAATCAATGACTCATCTGAAGGTGTAAATTTGCTAGAAACCTTCAAAATATGGACATGTTTAAGGACATGCTGTTTGCAAAGAAATTAAAAGATGATGAAGTGTCAAGAATGAAACGCTGATAAATGTACAGACAATGCACAGATAAATGTGTACAATCATGCATTATTCACATACATAGGAAGCAGAATAAAAATCTTTTGCTGCTTTTCATCAGGACAATATTCAGCAACTTCCAATAATTTTTCTGGATGGAACTGTGCTCCGGTGTGTGGATCAGATCAAGTCAAGGGTGGTTTTTTCCTCCCCAGTAATAACAACTAGATAATTTACATTATTAAAAATAAAGAAATTTATGGTTGCTTAGGGATGATTAGAGCAATTCTGCAGGTGAAAATCTTAGCAACTGGTAACACCATCTTCAAGTGCCAGAAGTCCAAATTTAACTTTTTTCTAATGAGAATATTCCTAAAGGGTGAAGACTGGTCAGATGCCAGTGCTTTGCTAGGACTTCAAATCCATTTATATATGGATACAAATACTTGTAGCAATGAGGTGTTACACATCCTTTTCTGAATCATGCAGCTAATGGCATAATGGTGTTACACTTCCTTTTCTGAATCATACAGCTAATGGTATAATGGAGACACACTATAGGAACTCTGAAAAGGATGGTATTTTAGAATTGCTGTGATTATCTTGGTAAAAATTTGTAAAAAGGAAGAGACATTTTGTGGTCATTTGGCACAATGACTCAGAATCTCAGAAATAGTCTTAGTAAAAAAACAGGTCTTGGTAACAAAGGACTAGCGAGCAGCAAAGAAGTTAGATAACCATAATATGCTTGTAAAACCCATTTATCACACAGTTTTATAATCTGATGCATGGTTCTGTAGTTTAACCCCAGATATCATCAATGAAACCAGCGTATGTGAAGGAAATCTCATCCTTTGAGCATAAAAGGTCTATCAACAACAAACTTTGGGTCACTTGTATCCTTACACAATTATGGCAACATAAGTGCTACCACTAAAATATGTAAATACTCCACCATGCAGCTGAAACTTCTCTGATATCTACTCTTAAAGGCATAGACCAGGAATGGACCACTCGTCCACCTTTCCTCTTAGGCTCTATAGAACTTGCTGGACCATGTAAGTCAATTACCAAAACAATACATAAATTGGCTGATCAAGCTTTCAAACTTGATTGAAAAAGCATTTCATAGCTGGCCACTACATATACCCGTTTGACAGCAACTTTGGATTCAAGAGAGTGACAATGACTGTGGTGGAAAAGCCTCTCCCTCAGGGCTCCAAGCATGTCTTCTGGGCTTGATGCAAACTCAGTGAGAAGACACAGGAAAAGGAATAACGCAGCTGGTAAATTCCTGTGCAGGGTAAAGGTCTGCGTGTACCCACGGAGAATGAGAAAATCATTCAGGGAACCCTGTGTGCTGCTGTTAAATTACTGTAAAATTACTGTAATTTACTGTTCCCTTTCAAGTATCAGCATGTACAGTATTGTACAAACATTGTCTTCATTCTGTGTAGGCTTGGTCTAATGATAGTGACCCATACTTTTGCCATTCTCTCCAAGTGATGCATGAAAAGCAATGATAATGTGAAAAATTGATAAAGCTGTTAAAAACGGCTAGAAAGCAAGATCGGCGGAGGTCTGAGCTGGTCTGATGTGACGACAGCAGCAAAATTGTAGGCTCATTGATTATGTCACATGAAGATTTTGTATATACTGAATGTTTCACCTATCTCTAATGTCATCCTGTACCTCCAGACATGATTTACTTATGAGAGCTTTTTCTAAGTGAATTTATTCAGATATACAAATCAAGATTTGTCTGACATTCCTATTATCACAGGCTGGAATGAAACAAAGAAGTTCCTAAGACTTCTTGTGAAGACACTCTGTAGTTGTTATTCCACCTTCAGCAAAAGTATTTTAAAATGAGCCAGTCCACCAAACCTAGCACCTGCTTTACAGTATGGGCTCTCAAAGAGGTTATTGTGTGGAGAACTTTTCTCGCATTTGCCATGCTACTCAGAAATCCAGAAAAGGAGTAATATCTTGTCATATTTCTTGTGAGGAGGTGGCAGAAGGGAAACCCAGGGTTTCAACTTCTGTTACAATTTTTTCCCCTCCTGCTATTGTGATCTTAAACCAGGCTCGACTCCTTCCTTGGCCATGTATCTCTGCTACACAGGTGGTGTACAGTGCTTTTTCTCCTCTCTACCCCCTTCATAATAACCACTAAACAAGGAAGCAACTGTCAGAGCTAACCTTCCTGACTCAGTCTCCCCTTTAGGCTGGGTAGCTAATGTTGGTGACTACCTGTTGAGATTCAACCAGCAAATGCTGTTGGGGCCTGGGACATACCTCACATCAGGCTCTGCAGTAGCAGCATGCAGTGGCAACCTCCCGTTTTTGTCAGGTATGTTCTGCTTAGCACCGTTTCTGATCAGGCTGATACAGCCTTCCAGCCAGCCCTAAAAAAGAAATCAGAGCATGTCAAAGAGGAAGGTGAAATGCATCAGGCCAGATCTTTGCTTGGTGGTTCTGGCATCCGTGTGTGGCTGTAGCTGTTTCTGCTAGCAGAAGAACTGGTCTCAGCACTGACACCAGTTCCCCTTTGGAGTACAAATCTCATACTAGCTCAGTCATTCATTTCTGTGATAAGGTGTTTTCTTTACACTGCATTTTGGTTTTTCTGCAGCTGTGGCAAATACCGACTGAGTAAACAATGGTTAAAAACCTGCTAATTGCAGGATCACTAGGAAATGCTACACATATTCCTGCATGTGGATTTAATTATGCTAGATTAAACCAGGAACATGAGCACTTAATCTTATTTCCTTGATGAGATTTTAGCAGGGATGGCAAATCAATAGTAAAAAGCCTTAGAGTGTGGTCTTACAAACACTGTTGCAGAAGTTTGAACTAGTGACAGCGTTAGACTGAAAACAGCACCAAAACAGATGGGATTAATCAGTACTTGGCCTAAAACCTTCTATTGATCAACTCAGCAAAAAAGCAAGTAAACAACCTGGTTGTGACTGCATAAATATTTCAGTGTATACTTAAGTCCCAGGGAAATCAAGCATGAGTTTGTTTTTTTCAGTCCTCTGCAGGCAATCGATAAAGACCATTCCCTCCTGTATGAGCTACGTTGGATCAGCATTACCAACATTTATGGGGAAGAGGTGTGGAATAATGGAATCGGAACAGCCCTTTTGCAGCTGCCAGTGGAAGTACAAGGCCACCAAATTTTGCCTGTGATTGTGACTGTGGAGCTCTGCTGAATTCAGTTCCCTGCACAGACATCACAGCCAAATGCTCCCTAAACCTCTGATTATATTCATCACAGAAACAGAAATGGAAACTTCGAAGCCTGGGTGGTTAAATCTTTTCCAGTCATTTCTATTTTATTTCTTTTTTCCAAAGAATTTTTTTTCCCCTCTGGGAAAAGAGGAAGGAAAAAAGGAGCATGACACTAATTATGGGATTTTTAAAAAATATCTGGCAGAGGAAATGTTTATTCTCAAGAAAGTGAGGCATCCTCCTTGTACTGAATGAGACTGCCTGTTTTGCAATTTTCTGCACTTATTTTCTGGCTTAATATTGCATAGCTGAGCAGAAGCATTGTTTTTGCCCTGAACTTGCAGGAGGAAACTAGATGTTTCCCTAGCAAGGGAAGCAGTTTAATTAGGCTGCCATGGTATCTGTTTAAATGAACTGGCTGTCATCCAGCCATAACTCATACTGTGCATCATAGGTGAACATTCCTTCCTCCGTTCTGTCCAACTAATAATGGCAGCCCTCTGCCCAACTAACCTGGTTCCCATCCTCTCTGAGTTCTGAATAACCTCCAGCAAGGAGGAGAAGATTAAAGTCAAGAGGAACATCCTTGTGTACTTCAGAGACCACCACATCTTCCTTCCCAAACTTCTCAATGGGATGGCTGCCCTACTGTTATTTGCATGTGGGTTGACTCAGGAGTTGGATTGCTTATGATCTGAGTATCTTCACTGGCACCTGCAGTACCTTGAACTTGAGTTCTTAACCTCGCCATCCAAGGTCCATCAATGCTCTGGCTCATGTAGTGTGCAGTAAAACATGCCTGCTGACAACCAGATTTTGAGATAGGAGTGCCCTCTCTGGAGCATAAATATTTGATGCTGACAGTGGGAGGGGAGAAGTTAGTCTGCATATTAAGAACAAGAGTGGACTTTCCAGTGCAACAGAAGCAAGTGGCTTTCTTGAAACCACACAGAGGACCCTGGACCCAGTGAGATCCCCATACCATGCACTAATTTTACAACCTGAAAGTGAAAGGATACTCTAACAGGAGTCTTGATCCTTTTCTGATAATCATCAGCTTTGCATTATAGTAAAGTTCACTCTTGTCTAGAACTAAATATTTTGCACTTGTTTTCTTTCTGTAGTATAAACAGAAATCTTATTTGGTCTGCACATTTACTCTCTTTACTCCATCTATCTTTCCATCCTTCTCCCCCAAGTTTTGGTACCAGATAAGTTGCCAGACATAAACTGGTACGTCCACAAGCATCTTGAGTATTAATATTGGCTCCCATCTTCAACAGAAGCTTCACTGTATCAACCTGGCGTCCTGACACAGCATGCATCAAAGGTGTGCAACCTGAGGAAGAAAGTCAAATGTTCTTTTACAATTTTTATTTTGTCAAAGCCATAAGCTAGAGATATTTTCTTATTTGCTAATGTTAGTACTGGCAAATTAACAAATCCTTTTGCTGACAACTGTTCCAACAGTTGTACTCAGCTTTTTGTAGGCAGGAAGTAACCGCTATGCCAGTTACTGACCACTGATTTTAAAAAGAGCATGACTTCATTAGCAAAAGTCTTGCCTCATTAACTCTGCTTCTGGAGGGAAAAGTGTTTTTCTATTGACAAGCTTCCAATATGAACTGTTGGCTTTGTATACCGTTTTGGAGGCTGATATTCTTCACAGTGACTAGTAGCCAGAGGGTGCTTGGCTAGTTTTCTCCAACCCCAGCTTCGTCCTGTCTCTATGTATTCAAAAGACTTATGAAATCAAGCCCTGTCCTATGCAAATGTGTGTATGTGAGTTGATACTTTATGTAGACAACAACTTATTTTAAAGGCTGGATTTGCTCTAGAAAATATTCTTTTGTGTTGTCATGAGAACTTTTTCAATATTCTGCAACAACTTCTGTGCTGGAAAAACCTCTGAAATCTACATTCAAGCCTAATACTCAAATTTTGCCATATTATGATGAATATTATGATATCTTTCAATTGCTTCCTTTTCCTTCCATTCTGCGAACTGCTTAATAACATCAAGAGATTTTCCTGCAGAATCTGACAAAACAATTTGAAATTACTGAACTGGGAATAAACATGAGTATTAGAAGCTGTAAAACTACTAGAAACTTCAGGCACAACTGAGGAATACTTGTTGGTTTGTATTTCGGTATTACTGACTTAATTATTGACTTACTGGTTTCAGTATTATTGACTTATTGATTTCAGTATTATCGACTTATTGATTTCAGTATTATCGATTTAATACTGAACTGAATTCTTACTGGATTCAGTGAGACTGTTGAGCAAATGTGTACTACCCAACCTGAGGTTATGCAGGCTCTGCCATATGTGCAGGATATGAGCCGTACGTTTGTCTTGCAAGACTGGTGTTTAGTTGCATCTGTGTGTACAATGAAGTAAACAAGTTTCTCCTGGAGCTGAAATACTTCCATTTGCTGATCAGTCTATCTCCACCCGCAGCCCTTCATGCCTAGTCCCTCTCACATAAAGGTTCTGGACTGGGAGCATTTTAGCTTGATTAAATATTTTTCCTACTGACAAATAGATGTTTTAAAGGTAATTGTAAGGATGTTTGGTTTAAAGTGTAGGAAAAATTGGTAACTTGGTAAAAGCTGGTAAAGGTTAAAATAGACGATGTTTGTACGGACCCTTTAAAAGAAACTACAGTGAAAAAATACTTCTGAATAAACAAAGTCTTCCTTGGGAGAAGCGTCCAGAGATCTGTGGCTCTAATTCACTTGGGAAATAGATCCATATAAAACCTAGGCAATAGGCAGCACTTTGTAATAATATTAAACAGTTTCCTGAAGACAAACAAAAAGGAGCACAGTCTCACAGATAAAATAGATTGTTTAAATCATTGCATGTTGTACACTCAACCGTTTGAGTTTGTCATTTAAACAATTACATGACAAAATCCTTCAAATTGTGTCTGTATACATACTTTACAAGTACAAAAGACTGAGACTCTCTGCTCTAGCATTGTGCAGACTGTGTATAGCATTTGGCTTTGATAAAAAATGTTCCTTTTTCTTGCATGAAATGACAACAATTTCTCACCATTTCCATAAACAAGATAAAATAGATTAATGATAAAGTCCTGTCTCATTATAGCAGCACAATGTATTTGTATCCATATTAAAAAAAATCTTATAATTAAAGGGGAAAGAAGTATCCAAACTGAGCATTTTCAATGGATGTTCCAAAGAATAACTCAGATTTCCCACATTCTGCTACTAAATATGATTTGCTGAATACAAAAATCAGGATAAAAAAATGGAAAATTTCAATGCCAGCTGAAGCAACTAATCCCGTGAGAACAAGCTCAGCCTTCATTTACCCTCACTGTCACAGGACTCCAGGATGGAAGGATCTTCTCGAATCACTGCAGTTAGTGTGCTCACATCGCCACTAGCTGCTGCTTGGTAAACCACAGACAAGTCACCCTCTTCTGCTGCATCACCTGCAGAGGAGGAGTACGTCCATGAGTAAGCAGAGAGCAAGTACAAATGATTACCAGTGAAAATTTATGACTGTATAACTCGAGATGGAACAAAGTGTATCTATCTAAACAGCACTGTGGTTTTTGTTAGTCATCAAAACTTGTTTTCTATCACAACTTCTTCCAAAAACTCTCAGACATCAACAGTGAGAGAACATTAGAAAGCTTCTGGAAGGTTTCCATCTCTCCTAACTATGATGTAACATAACTTGAGAAACAACAAAGGAATAGGTGAACTAGCTCGTAATGTCACTGTTATACTTTTATGAGATAGGATGAAATCAGGACACAGGTGATTTCAGTTTCAATGTTATCCTTGCACCAGTCGGAAGACTGAGGCTTTTCATGTCCTTTCCTTGCAGTGTCCAGGGGGATTCTCGTCTCAGGAGAGTGAACTTCTGGCAGCAATGGTTTGTGCTAATAATTCGTACAGAAAGTAAAGGTGAAATATTAGTTGGAACCCAGGAGAAGTTTATTTTGTTCGGCAGTAACAGTGTGAGGTATTATTTAAAGCAGATGCCTTGCAGGAGCTGTTCCTAAACACTCCTCAGGATTTTGTTTCTAGAGAAATTAATGTGATGATTCTGTCTCCGGTTTTTTTGCTTGTAACTTCCTTCCAGACTGATCATCCCATGCTCCGTATGCCTACACCTTCATTGGCTTCAAGTGGATTATAAACCTGTTAACTCCAGGAGTCAAAAGAGTAGATTTTTTGGTGCAGGGGCAAATCTGATGTAACGGTAAAATGCTCCAGCTACGTACTTCTGGTCAGCCACAGTCTCATGTTTAATTTTAGAGTTTCTGATCTCTACTAACTAAATAAGAACAGCTGCAGTGAGCTGTGCTCTTCACTGTGGCTGAGGGCCAAAGCTACAGACCATAGCATTCGTCCAGCCACTGAACTGCCTTGTAAGTAGGATAAAGTAAAACTGATGCCTAAATCACACTGGAGAGTTGATCAAAGGAAAGACAGAGCAAGTGACTGCTGACTTATCCTTACTGTCATGTCTTCTGGAAATAGCATAACTATGCAGATAAAAGGGAGATGGTTTAAAGAGAATTTTAAAAGTTAGTAAAGTCTTTTTCATAATAAAATATTGCATTATTATTAACATATTGCTATAAATCATATTTTAAACATTTTTGTATATATTTTTGAGTGATAAAAGGTTTTTAAATAAGCCACACAATTCTCATTGTGATCGGATACTGTGACAGTTGAACCTGCCTGAGCTCCACACGGGGGTTTACAGAGCCCTGTGCAATTCCCCACATGTGACCTTCTCCCCAGGATGCAATCATCACTCTTGTCTTCAAAACTTGGCTTCCATGGAAACGCAATCAGCCCTTACCCTGGGAAAGGTTAGTCTGTCAGAGCCAGAGCTCTTGTTGTGGGCTTGGGAAAACTTGAAGGCTGATGTTAAATTTGTCTTCACCAGTGCACAGATTCCCTCTCTATCACCTCTCAACTGAAGAGAATGTGATTTCTTTTCTTTCTGTTAGTTGGTCTTTTAAATTACACATTTGATAAGATTTGTAAATTAAAAATGTTAACTTGTTTTTTATTCTACTGGGGAGTCTATCACTGAGAGAACTGTTCATTTGGCTCAGAAGCTTTGACCTGTGTGCATGGAAGATCATGAGAGGCTAAGAGTCATTGCCTCTGCAGTAATCATCAGTGACTAGTATGTGAAAAAAGAAGTGACTTTACCACAGCACCCATTAATCAGATTTCCTTATCATGCCAGATCTGCAGACTGCTCTCACAATCAGCAAAGACATGTTAATAACAAGCTCAGGTCTGAGCTAGTCCCTTACTCAAAGAGGTGTGTAATATGGGCTGGGCGGAAGGCAAGGAGATAAGGCAGAGTTTCATCACTTGTGTTGCTCCTCTTGGCCACTTTCTGAAGGTACACCAGATGTGCCAGCCACAAGCAGCAAGACAGCTCCTCTCACAGTTGCTTGTGGTGCTTGTTATATAGGAATGGTACAGACAAGATGCTGCTGGCACTGGGAAAGAAACCATTAGATGTACTGAGAGACACAGTGGGTCAAAGGGACCCTCACCTCCTTTCATGCATTTCACATGTAAATTTTGTACTTTTTGCTGGTTAGACTTGTGAGTACCGATAAATCTTCCTTCTGTGAGTCAGGTGGGAGCAATCTACCCACAAAAAGAAACTCGCTATCTCCCAAGCAGAGCAGGTGCTTACCCGGAGGGCAGGATGGTGGCAAGATGAGGATGTGGGTACAAAACTGCATGTGGGTCCCTGGCTCCTTCTACCCCTTCTTATATGACTAAAACCAAAACACCTTCACCCCTGTGCCTTTGCTTGTGCTGGGCTGAATCTGCTTTTCCCAGAGCAGTTAGCCTGCTGAATAAGGAGAAGCAGCAAAACTCTAAATGGATGGATGGATGAATGAAGAGGTTTTTCCCGTGCCTGCACCCACATAACATGGGCTCCACTCCTGTTAAGATACAGTGGCATGAAGCCACATCTAAGATTCACACTTCCCTATCTGTGAATCCTAGCTGTCAGAGCTAGAAAAGGCAGAGGAATCAGGTTGTCGCCCTGCTGGTGAAGGAGACTGGGCCAGGAGGACTTGATGAACACCCACATTGTACATCCGACATAAAGCACACTGACACTAATTCCATTTCTATAGGGTGACATGATTTCAAGTGGGGTGTCTTGAACATGACCCTTGTGGCTTTGTGTAGGAGGTGAGGAGGAAGATAGATGTGTGGTCTTTTAATGCTTCAGATGGCAAGGACCAGGAAATGCCAGGATGTAATTTCTCCTAGTTCATCTTCCCTCAGCTTACCCCGTCAAGGAATAAGGCGGCACAAGGTATAAGTGCACAAAGCTTGTAGGCTATTTAATTTTGCAGACACCTCCCTGGGCATGCAAAGTGGGTGTTCTGCAGAAGGTGACAGTGAGGTATCGAGCACTTGGGTCCCCTTTTGTGAGCTTAACCTGCTGGAGAGCTCAGCTGTGGCTGGGGCATCAGCACCAAGTGGGATAAAGGGACTGTGAATAGCCAAATGCCTGACTCTCCATCCTCAAATGTGTTAGCATTACTTCATTTATTAACTTCCGGTTCTGTAAATGCCAGTGAATACTGGTGCCATTTCAGATAAGTTTATATTTTATTTTGGAAAATTGCTGTGCTATTGTTAAAAGGAAGCTGTCAGCTTCAGGAAAGTAGAAGGTCCAACTGAGAGCCTGTGTATAGAGCAAGGGTAGGGAGAAACTTCAGGCTGGCACAACAGTGGCATAGAAAGATCTGGAAGAATCTTAGTGAATAGACCAAATGACATACAGGGTTGTGACATCTTTGGTAGCTAAAATCCTCAGAAAAAATCAATCTTAAAAGCCAAACTATCTGAAATAAGGTGCAGTATTTTGAAAGTACGTGATTCCTTTAAGGCAAAGTAATTTTGGTTGGGAAAGGGTTTATATAAAAATATATGCAGAATGATCACAGGATTCAGAGCAATGAAATTACACTGCTTGTGACATTAATTCTCCTCAGACTCTCCTGTGATGAATGCATGCTTTACACAATTTGCTATGTTGGCTGATCTGTTGTTTCACAAAATGCACATTAGAGGTATGTAAGTGCATGCTTTCTCCGGCATTGGAATTTGCTGTAGCTCAGTGTACATGGTCTTGACAATGACTGATTTAGACCTTGCTAAAACACTAGGTTTTGAAAACTGAAGGCTAGAAAACAGTATAACTTATGTTCATTGTGAAGAGGAAATATTGATGTACATTATTTACTACCCTCTTTCTTACAAGCCTTCTTGTTTCCACCAGTAGCCAAATAACTTATATGATTTCCCACTGCTTGTCAGCAGCACACAGTACTAGGCAGTTTATTTGATTTCAGCGTGACAGTGTTGAGGGTCAGTGGGAGGTGGTAAGTGCAGCTTTTGGGACTTGTAACTTGCTCTGCTGTTAGTCTTGGTAAGTATTATATTAATGAGCTGTAATAGGAAGTGTTGAAAAGAGACAGTACGATTTTCAAGGCCCGAATGCTGTTTATTTGATCTGCAACTGGGATAGTTTTCTGATGTGTGGGGTGGAGAAAGGTTTGTAGGGAGGATTGAATTATTTTATTGGACTGACAGATTGATCTGGTGTGTTTGAATGAAGATCATTCATTCATTCATGTGCATTCTTCCAATGAAAGATATTCCCTTTCTCCTTACTAAAAAAATTGTGCCTGCTTAAACCAGTAATATGCCGAGACATTAACATGCTGTTCAGATAAAATCCACCAGAGGCTGTATATTTTGAATAGCACTGTGTTTGCATGATAACCAGTGGTTTCACTGTCCCATTACTGCGTGTTGCCTGCTCCTGATCTCCATCCTCCTCCCACACAGCACAGCTGTCAGGGAAGGCAAACAGTAAGTCACAAATCATCTAATGAGCCAGCATCCCTGGCGTGGTGGTGGAGGGGAGATGACGAATTTATCTGGAGGGGACTCTTGCTGTGGAGGTGCTATGAGAGGAGTGTAAGATGGGCCTGGAGATGATGCTGGACACGGATAAGGATAGGTCAGTATGGAGAGTGGCCTGGCAGGAGAAAAGGCTGCTGATTAGTACAGGCATATGCTGCCTCCTAACTCTCTTACTTCTATCCAAATATGGTGGTTTAGGTCAGTGGTCTCCTGCATTGCTTTCTGTCCCCTTATCCGTCTGGAGGCTTGACTTCTCCTTCCCTGGCCCTGGTCACGTTTCAGCCTTATTCCCAGCACGACTGCCACTAGCTCCCTGGCAGCCTTCCCCGTTGCACAGACTGTGAAGGGTTTCTCCTCTCCCTCCCCAGTCTGAGCAGTGCTGAGTCAATGTGTGGCACAGAGCACACTCATGGTGCATGGGGACAGAGAGTTTTAGAATGGCTGTTTGTAGCTGCAGCAGCTCAGTCAGCCCCACACCTCCGTCCTGTTGGGGAAAATGCTCTTTGTGCGATTCACACATGACTTCAGAGCACCTGTCTCTGCTCCTGCAGTACAGATCCCCTTCTCCTGTTGCACTTCCCTTCCTCCTTTATCCCTGCTGGTAGGATTTTTTGCCTCTTGTCACTCAGTTTTGTTTCATGGCTTCCCACTGTTCCCCGTCTGCTCAGGGTGGGGTCCTGGCTGGGCTGGTGTCCTTGCAAGACTTGCTTCAGGCTTTGAGCACTGCTGTGGCTGAAAGGCAGCGTTAAGTCCCCTGCTTTGCACAGAGTGTATTTACTTTGGGTGCACCGAAGAAGCATAGGCAAGCTCAAAAGTACAACCATAGGCAAGCACCCGTGTCAGCTCGGACACTTTACAGGTATGCATGGGAAACTGTGGCCCCTGCACACAAATCATTTTGGCAAGCTGACTTAAAGAGAGATTTGTTGGAACACATGTAAACAAGCAGTGACAGCTACCTGCTTTGGGAACATAAAAGGACTACCACTACATTCCTCTGAGTAGATTAAACCGTAAGACACAAAAGCTTGCACTGGCAAACAATGACATGAAATTCAAACATTTAACTTAAAAACAGAAAACAAAGAGACATTCATATTTCCATAGCAACCTTACCATGTAGAAAACCTTCATGTTGAGGCTTTTAAAAATACCTTAAATTCACAGTTACGGCAATACTTATCTATACAGCTGAGATTTCCTGAAGCAAAGTTGATCACTTGTCAGCATCTAGTCCTTTCAATGTATACAAACTAGTGAACTTAAGAAAATCAGTTTTTTCTTAAATTTTTACTCCATTTTAAACTGCTCTGTTTGCTAATATTGCAATTGTTCTTATATATATCCATCTACATAAGACGACCAATAACTAATATAAATTTGTACATACATTTCTTGGTGCAAAGCAGAAAAGCAATTAGATGCTCTAACTATTCTGCTGAAAAAATATTATTAAAAAAACCTACACTGTAGCAATAGGCTGAAATACCCATGTCTAAATCTGAAAAAATTCCTTCGCGTGTAACAGAAATAAATCTCTATGAGACCTAATCTTTTCCAAAAATTGTAGTTATTAATTCTGTCAAGTAATCTTAGTGCATTTGATGAGAGGCATGGGAGGACTGGAAGATTTTGAAATTAGTAGCAGGCAACTTACCTCTGTGCTGATCAAACACTGATGAGGAACTGAAATCCATTGTGGTCTATCTCATTATTTACAATCAGACCACACAAATGACATCTCCAGGGTTTTCAGGGAAGAATCCCATATATAAGAGTAAATAATGCAACGATAGCTGTTGCCAATCTTCTTGTCAGAGAATTAAACTTGCTTTACTGCTGAAGATTGTTGTCAAAGCAAGGACATTATCACTATCCTAATGGGAATGGTATATTCTGTTTGCTATGCACCCTCTTCAAATGAGATCCCTGGAAGCTTAACTGAGCTTCTGAAAAACGTCTTAGCTTCAGTGGGTGAAACTGCCTTATGAGTGGCTCTGAGAGATGCTGCAGCTCACCCAGGCTCAGCAGCAGAGCTCTGCCCGTAGAAAACAAGCCTCAGAGGGTGAGTGGGACTGGGCTGGCAGACGGAGCATGTGCAGAGCTGACAGCGCAGGTCGGATGCAGATGTCCTTGCTGTGCCAGCCAAGTGGCATGTGCTCCATTCACTGACAATCCTGCAGGCAGGCTGCCTGTACCGCTGTGCTGTCAGCATGTGTCTGAGAAAGGCTTGTGAAGTGATGTTTTCAGAGATTACCCATTTTCTGATTAACTCCCGCACGGAGAACACAAATTAGCAAGCTCTTTCTACCTTAGTTTAGAACTATCCAATTACAGTTAAAGTACAATGTTTCATGAAGGGATAATAACTGAGAACATATTACCATGGCTGAAGTGCACAGTGATAGCTCCAACAGCATAGTACAATAGGTGTAACAGTTCACAGCGGATGCTCCAAACCTAGTGTCTGCAAACCAACAGTAGACCAACATCTCCACCCTTTTTCTTCTGACTGGGCCTCTGCCTCTCTAAACTGGGACTCAGACTCCGTACTGCAAAGGGTTGGGGGGGGCACCCTGGTGAGCTTTGCTTTTTGGTGGGTTGTTTCTGTGGGAAAAATAACAATAAATGTGCTGACTTGGAATTTTCCTGGAGCAGTAGATCACCGGTAGTGCCTTGGGGTTGGTGGATGGGAGGGATAGAACAATTTTGCTTAGTTCTGGTGCACTGGAATAAACAACTACTGATGAGAAATGCAAACAAATATATGAAAAGACACTTTTGACCTCAAAGTACAAACAGGACATATACTAAACCTAAGCCTAGGTTTGGCCAGCATAAGACGACCCTAAACTTTATTCACTGTGTTCATTCTGTTCTGGTGTTTTGACCAGTTCCTGTGACTACAGCAGATGTTAGAGATATAATATACATTTGGACACTGTAGGAGTTGTATCTGGAGCTGATTCACATCCCAAGCATCTGCTGCTGAACGTAAATCTAAATGATGTGCTTGGGAATAGATAGTAGGTCCAGGAAGGAATACAGCCTCAAAAGCTTGAGGTGAAAGACCACAGATGAAATTCTCAAAAATGTGGCTGTGTGACCTGCTCAAATGTCCTTAACTGTGGAGAGGCATGTGGTGGGACTGGAGCCAGAGACTGGCTCTGTTTCTTTTCCATGCTGCTGGCTGGTTTGTGCTATGGCTCACCTCAGGCTTTTTTTATGTTGAGGAGGTATATACTATATGGCAAGTGTGATCTGTGAGCAGAGTACTAGTTACGCAGATGGTCAGCTCCAACTGTCTCTACCTAATTTGATCAATTAAATGCTCACGGTTTAACCTGCCCATTTGTCACTACTATGCCTCTGCCCTTCCATTCTGCTCCTGAGATGGAAGCAATGGGCTTTGGAGATTACTGGTCCAGTCTTTTGCAGTGCATTAGCCTGGAAATGAGGTGCATTGCAGGTACGCAGACAGGTAATTTCGGGGAGAAACACCTGACAGCTGATTCCTTGTGGGTCCCAAATGTGACACAATATTCATTATGGCACTATGTACATTTGCCAGGGGCCCAGCTTGCCTTCAGCTATGGGAAAGATAGGCACGTCCTCTGAGATAAGTGTCCACAGCCCATAAAGACAAGGTGTGCTTGAGGGCCGGCAACTGCTGCCCCCTACATCCATCGGAAAAAAAAGCAAGGTAAGTACTTTAGCACAACAGCTTTCCCCAATGGAGATAGAAGCACCAGGTGAACACAATTGTGTGTCTCAGCTATGGTGGACATACCAAGCTCAGAGGCTTCCAGAAACCTCGAGATTTAGGAGCTGGACTTGACTTGCTGACTTTTCTGGAAGTATCTTTTTATTGCTTCTTAAGAAGCAATAAAAGCAAAACATTTCTTGAAGGAAATGTCTCCAAATTCATCAGGAACTCCTGTGCTCAGTGGCTATGAAAGCAACCCTGGCTAAGGACAGCAAACACACATAAGAGGCAGAGCCTGATGACAGCTCTAATTTGGTAAAGCAGATAAAGATGACAACTTTATTTTTTTACTTTACATTATTCTTTAATTTAAGCAAAGTGTTTCTGAATTTTTATGCTGTCAGTAGTAGCTGGTTTTTTTGTGGGTTGGGTTATTTTTGTGGAAGGAAGCCCTAGTATAGAAAAATGACAAAAAGCAAGTAACAGAAACACAGCTTTTTTTCCGTGTTTTTGTGTTTGTTTGCCCACATTTGCCAGTGCATTGGCATTTGACTGTATGTCAGGTAGTTAACTCTCCTCCATCTAACTGTTGGTTCATTAGGTGAATGCAAAAGTTGTGGTGAGACTACAGAGAATGGGCAAAACATATACTCAAATGCTATGTAAATGTTATTTACTGGGGTGCAGAGCAGGGCTGATGTCTGGCGTTGCAGACTGAGAGATCATCATCAATGCTTACAGCTGGCAGATATCACCCTCTCTGTGCCACATTGCTATCATGAGCATAGACATCTGCTCTTCTGCTGCCCCTGCAGAGGACAGCGCAAGTGGGCAAGGGTTGGGCAGGCATTTTCACCCTGGCACAGCAAGAGCTTTGCCGGAGGGATGCGGTGTCTCAGCAGAGCGCCTGGAGCAGCAGTGCCCCCATCTGTAAGGAGCGGTGCCAGCAGCCAGCGCCGCAGGGACGGCAGCTCCCGCCGCGAAGCGTTTCACTGCTTTCTTCACGGGTGTGTCGCAAGCCTGGTAAGAGATGTCATCTAGTGAATGGGAGTCAAAATGAACCATCAACTTTCACTTTCTGTTCCTAATGAAATCCAGTAATAATAATTCGGTTATAAAGTATTTAAAGTACCATGCTATATATATAAACTAACTCCTGATTGGACCCGGAGCTCCATCCTCAGTGTTGGGTGTGTTAGTACCAAGCTCAGACGTGTATGGAGAAGTCAGAGCCCTAGCCAGGCAGGAGGATTCAGCTGTGCTCTCTGGTGAGGACTAACTCAGGGCACATCTAAATGAGCAAAATCTTTGTTAAGGTGTCAGCAAGTAACAGTGACTAGAGAAAGGAGTATGAAGTCACAGCTACACCTTAGAGGTTCCCAAATGAAATTCAAGACAAAGTGAGGATCTGTTGCTCCATAAAGCCAAATACCTCCTCTTCCAAGTCAGTATTACATTTTGCCTTTGACTTCAATGAGATCAGGGCATCTCCCATGGTACGATTTATTGCGGTATCACTCACATCTGTGAGACAGTTTTAGTAGCAAGCCGATCACACCTGAGAGTCCATTCTGTAAATGGAGCAGGGCTGTTAAACAGCAACTGGTTTTACAGGTATTGTTTTCCCAAATGATAACTGGTTTGTGATTAACTAAACCAAATTCGTATTTTTTCTCAGACTGGTCGTGACAACTTTGGAAGGAGTGGGGAGTCTCACACTGAGCTTATCACCCTTGCTATGCTGTAGCTTTCCTTGTTACCCTCCATAGAATTCCTCATGATATTTTCAGGTCTAAAACAGCGTTCAGTACCCCTGGCATGATGTAAGGGTGGTTTGAAGATCCTGGCAGAGCAGGCAAGCCAGATGTACGTGTGGAGGAGCAGATGGGGTGGGTGGGGGTACCTGCTGAGTCAGGAGAGCCAAGGTGTGTGTCCTGCGTATACACCCCTCTGTGATACCAGGGAGCCAGGGTGTGTCACATTTTTGGTATTACACTGGTAAAAGGAAATCTATGTGCAAATCCTTGTGGTTTTTTTTTTT